CAAATCCATAAGATTTTTGTTAATCTTCAGAACACAAATGAAGATATTTCTAATGAAATCTGAGAGATTTCTGTCCCTCCATTGACAGTCTACGCAACTAACACTTTGACGCTTCAAAAAGTTAATAAATAGATCATAAAACTAAGAATGCCCTATTTGCCACCCAGAACACACTACATAGCAAATGCATAGCAACATCTTAGCAGCCACTTAGAACTCCCTATCAGCTACACTTTATCAACTACATGAAAACACCCTAGCAAAACAACCTCTAGTGCCTTAGAGGTGCCTTTCCATAGCAGCCACACAGAACACACTAGTGACCACATAGCTACTGCTCTAGCAACCACCAAGAACTTACTAGCAAGTGCATAGCATACCAAGAATCCACCTAGCAATACCCAAGAAACCATCAGCAAAGCAACAAGTTAAAATAATTCAGAACAGCCTAGTAACCACTTAGCAACACCCTGGAAACTATCAACAACACCCTAGCATCACAACATCAAAACAAGTTTTCTACAGGCAGCACCGCTCACTTTTTTCTAACAGGATAATATAATTTTTCCCCCTATAGTCAATGCCACAAAGCAGCCAACCTGTTGCTTTGTATTGATTTTGATCTCACTTCATCTGAGCAAACGCTAGCATTAGCAGTGCAGTTTATGATAAATGTGTCATGTTTCAGTGCTGCTTGTTTGAATTCTGCCTGCGTGTTTGTGTGCATTAGAATGACAGATTCCCATCAGCATGTGTTGCTATAAATAGTGTTGGGAGCGAGAAGCGTAATGCAGTTTAGTCAGAGTGTGTAAATGGGAAGCTCTGTGTGTCGTTCCCTTCAGGGTCTGTTGAGTGTGTGGGCAGACAGCAGACCACGTCCCAATCCGGTGTGATGGCTACGCCAAGCGTCTCTATGTATGCACACATCATGTCTTTTCTGGCACTTGTTTCTCAGGGAAGGAGAGCAAGAGTGGCTGTATAGCAAATAAAAACAAGACTGAGGAAAAGCAAGGCACCTTAAACATCTGCTGCTTGTGCTCAACATATTTTGGGCGCTACACATTGCCCAAAGGCTTATAAGAGCCTCAGTTAGGGAGAAGATTCTGAGATAAAAGTGTATTTATTATCTGAAGAGCTTTCAGGCCTCAGTTTGGCATATTCCTAACACAGCATATCAAACTGAGAAGAACATTATGCTCGAGTGAACAAGGGTGGTGGCAGCTTCACGCTTTAGGGATGGACCTCGGTGGCAGGGTCTTGGAAAACTCCAGGAAAGAAGGAAAAAATACATAGTGCTAAATACAGGAATCTCCCGAGGCAAAGACCTGATACATGTATGCAAGAGGATGGGGCTTAGAGTTCAGTTCATCCGCCCACAGGACAATTACCTCAAACATACTGGAACATGTAAAAGAACCACGGTAGCGACTTAAAGCCACACAAATATATGTCCTCAAGTGCTTCACTTAAAGCCCATATGTCACTCCAGATAATTATTTCTGGGTCCAGAACAGTCTTGAAAATGAGAGAGCACATTATTCCTGTGCTCATCAATCTTCACTGCTACCTGTACGATACAGAATACATTACAAAGTTCTGCTATATGTCTTCAAAGCTTTGCATGGCTTTGCACCAGATAATGTTTTTTATTTAATCAGTCTGCATCAATCTAATAGGTCTCTGTGTTCAAATGATCAATTACACCTTGTGTTTCCTCACTTGAAATGCGAAAGTGATCAGGCCTTTTCTGTTGCAGTGCCAAGGCTCCTACCCTTAGTGTATTTCAGAGTGCGCTAAAAAAGGTTTTGAAAATGCTTTGTAAGTTGTTGTTTGTTGTGGTATGTGTCTTATTAGTTTATGTCTGTTTTTATTATTTTATTTATCACACTGGTAAAAAATGTATAGCCTGAATACATTGTAAGTCGCTTTGGATAAAGTGTCTGCTAAATGCATAAATTGTTATTATTATTAATGATTAAATTATTTATTCTTCCTGTACATAACTTTGGTTCTTGTGGTATTGAATGTGCTTTAGAAATAACTTTTGAGTTGAGAACTGTCTTGAAGGAGCCAGAACAGTGTTGCCAAGAAAAATGATTGCCCACTGTCACAAACGGTTACCCAAAAAGACTCAAAGGCATATTCAACGAAGTGTTAAAGATGTATTAAAGAAGCAGTATTCGCAAATAATTTAACTTCTATAGTGTGACAAATCTGAATCAGAAGGCTACTTTTTAGGCTACTTTTCCTCACCAACAAGCCATTTCAGATTTATTACATTTTGTATATATATATATATATATATATATTTTTTTTTTTTTACGTTAGTACATTTTGATCAAATGTTTTGAAACCAAACATTTTTTTTCTGTAGAATACCATGCTGAAGAATATTGTTTAATAATTACAGAGACACAGGTAAATAAATTAAAGTAAAAATACAATTAAATGTGCTCAGTATACTATGTCGGTACTTCATTAAAGTCAACTAGTTTGCACCTCTGCCAAGACCTCTGAGTTTCCCACCTTCCAGTAGCTCCCTCAAGGGTGTAAACTTGTTCCCTAGAGAAAGAGCAAATCTCAATTTCATCAGGTCTGGTTGTGTGTACTTCTGTGTATTTGAGTTTGAAAGCAGGCTTGTTTTGTGTGTGTGTGTGTGTGCGTGCCAGGGTAAAGCCTGTGTCAATGTATGCTTTTTTTCCACTCTGGGGTCATGCAGTATTTATAAATGTGAAGACATATAGCTGAATAGAACACCACAGTCCCTTTTGGGACTGCTTATGTTACAGTGGGGAAAATATTTATTTGATCCCCTGCTGATTTTGTAAGTTTGCCCACTTACAAAAAAATGAAGGGTCTGTAATTTTTATGGTAGGTTTATTTTAACGTATAGAGACAGAATACCAACTAAAAAATCCAGAAAAAAACACATTATATAAAGGTTAGAAATTGATTTGCATTTCAGTGAGTTAAATAAGTATTTGATCCCCAAGCAAAACATGACCTAGTACTTGGTGCAGAAACCCTTGTTGGCAAGCACAGATGCAAGACTTTTTTTGTAGTTGGTCACCAGGTTTGCACACATCTCAGGAGAGATTTTGGTCTACTCCACTTTACAGATCCTCTCTAAATCCTTAAGGTTTCTTGGCTGTCATTTGGCAACTCGAAGTTTCAGCTCCCTCCACAGATTTTCTATAGGATTGAGGTCTGGAGACTGGCTAGGCCACTCCATGACTTTAATGTGCTTATTCTTGAGCCACTCCTTTGTTGCCTTGGCAGTATGTTTAGGGTCATTGCCATGCTGGAAGACCCATCCATGACCCATCTTCAGTGTTCGGGCTGAGGGAAGGAGGTTCTCGTCCAAGATTTTACAGTACATGGACCCGTCCATTTGCCCCTCAATGCGGTGAAGTCGACCTGAACCCTTAGCAGAAAAACAGCCCCAAAGCATAATGTTTCCACCTCCGTGCTTGACTGTAGGGATGGTGTTCTTGGGGTCATAGTCAGCATTTCTCTCCCTCCAAACACGGTGAGTCGAGTTAATGCCAAAGAGCTAAATTGTGGTCTCATCTGATCACTTTCTCCCAAGCCTTCTCTGAATCATTTAGATGTTCATTGGCAAACTTTAAACAGGCCTGTACATGTGCCTTCCTGAGCAGGGGGACCTTGCGGACGCTGCAGGATTTCAGTCCATTACAGCGTAGTGTGTTACCAGTGTTTTGCTTAGTGACTGTGGTCCCAACTGCCTTACGATCATTAACAAGCTTCTCCCGTGTAGTTCAGGTCATGATCATCCTTACTCCATGAGGCAAGATCTTGCACGAAACTCCAGACCGAGGCCGATTGATGGTTATTTTGTGTTTCTTCCATTTCCGAATAATCTCACCAACAGTTGTCTCCTTCTCACCAAGCTTCTTGCTGATGGTCTTGTAGCCCATTCAAGCCTTGTGCAGATCTACAATCTTGTCTCTGACATCCTTTGACAGCTCTTTGGTCTTGCCCATGGTGGTGGGAGAGGTTGGAATGGAAGATACAGATTGTGTGGACAGGTGTCTTTTATACACCTAGCGAGCTGACATTAGGAGTAACTTCTTAAAGTGGCAGGACTAATCTGTGTTCCACATGGGCACATAACCAATCTGTGGGAGCCAGAATTCTTGCTGGTTGGTAGGGGATCAAATACTTATTTCACTCAGTGAAATTCAAATTAATCTCTAACCTTTATATAATGTGTTGTTTTTGTTTTCTGGATTTTTTGGTTGGGATTCTGTCTCTATCCATTAAAATAAACCTACCATAAAAATTACAGACCTTTCATTTCTTTGTAAGTGGGCAAACTTACAAAATCAGCAGAGGATCAAATACATATTTTCCCCACTGTACATATGCACCTCATTCATACATTTAAAACACTCAGACATGTATATGCAAGTGCAGGTTATATGAAAGAGATTATAAAGAATTGGTTTTGAAATTTGTCAAATGCTTAACACACAGCTGGGTTTATATTTAGTTTGGCTGCCCCTGTTATGACAAAGAGATTAGAACTCCCATTTTTTTTAAAAAACAAAAGGTAAACCATGCATAAATATCAGACTAAATAATTTCAAATCTGTTGCTGTGTGACATTGTAGTCCTTTGCATAAAAATATTTTTTAAAAGTTGGATTATCATATACCCCTGTGAGATGCCTACAAAGACAGCATTTTCAAAAAGTAGGCAGCGGTCCCAGAATGCATTGGGGTAAGGTCAGTGCAAAAAAATTGCCACTTTCCTAAATTCATGAATTCTAAACAGAAACTCTAAAGCAAGCTATCTGTGGAATAAGTCAGTTAATTTCAGGAGCTACAGCTAGGGTTGGGAATCAAAAATCGATTCAGGAATCGGATACTTGTTGTCAAATTAAGCTATAAATGCATAAATGATGTATATACAAACAAAAAATTGGCTATTCTGGTTGTGCATCCCTTCTCAATATGTCCTTCTCTTTTGTTTTTCAGGTATGATGTCGACTCCAAGAGCACCAACCTTTCAAAACATGTAAGTCTCAGAAATTGCTCCATGTTTTATTATAGACTCTATAAACCAGTGGTTCTCAACCCGCAGGCCGCATGCGGCCCGTCACAAATTAAAATGCGGCCCACCATGCTGAACACAATTAAAAAAATAACTTTCAGTTTTACAATTAATTTTAGTTTTTATATTCATTTAAAAAAGTACTAAACAAATATAAGCTATAATGTTTTTGTTATGTAAAATAACGTCGTTTTTCATATATTATTTTCAGACATGAGCGGACCTGCACTCACGTAATTAACGTTACGCATTTAACGAACACTTACAAGCATGCACTTTGGCAGAATTCAATTCAAATAGTCATCAGCAGCCATTAGTTTGGTAAAATTGAGCATCAGAATGGACAAATTTGATATTAAGGGAGAAAAACTAAATGTGGAAAATGCCACAAAGAATTGTCGCAGTATCAGCAGTGAAGGTAGGAGAGAGCTGAACTTTCGGCATCAACTTTCGGTTTGCCCCGCCACTCACTTGAAGATGTTTAGGCAAAAAGAAACACCAATACTATATGCAGCAATCATATCTGGAGAGAACCTCAGATTATTAAATTCGAAAGTGCTTTCCATATTTGGATCAACATAGGCTACATTTGTGAACGCACATTTTCTGCAATGTCGCGCGTCTTACAGACTGCAACTTACAATCGCACCTTCATTGTGCCGTTACTCCTTTCGAGCCGAATTTCACAAAATTGGTCAGCTCCCGACAGCATCAGGTGTTTTATTAATGGTGAGTAGAATTATTTATTTATTTACTTCAATGAATGTAATCGATTAGATATCATAATATTTAGGCTATACTATTATAAATCTGGTTGTTTTGTATTGGTGATGTAATATGTAAATGATATGCGTATGGCCCGTGAGACCACTGCTATAAACCCTTACCCTGTTGACCACCTCTAGACTATTATGAAGTTTAGGATGCCATCATACACACTCACCCCGCAGTAAAACCATCTCATAGTGCTTGTAATCAGCACGTGTGTATACTGTGATTCTGGATTTATTATTATTATTATTATTTTTTTTTGATCTTCTGAACACCATCCTTTAAATGAGGAAATTCAAACAATAAATACCATTTTGTGGCTCTTTAATGTGTTGTGACGTATCGCTGTAGTGCCTTAGTTTAAGCGGCACGTTATCTGATTATCTTTTCATATTTACTACTTAAAGCATGAAATAAACATGAATGAACATTAGAAAGTATTTTATTTCAACTGCAGAAAGACGTCAATATACACCATTTTTCAAGTTTAAGTCCATTTATGTTAATCTACTCTCCTGTCAAAATGGTGGATTTGGTAACAAACATGATTGGTCAGATCACCTGTCAATCAAGCTTCCTGCAAAGGGTCAAGTGGAACTTTTATTTTTATGAGTCTGGGATTTTTGGTAATTCCTTAGCATTTACAAGGCAAACTAGCAATAGTCAGGTAGTAGTAAAACTGAGGTAATTTAATACTAGATAATTCAGCATTTGTAGCACAGGAGACTGTGGGCATCCATCAATGTGGCAAAGTGGAACTGTTTATTGAAACAAATCATGGCTTGTAGTAAACCACCCACCAACAACACCATTGATCTAAACCACCCATACACTTCACTGTAAATCTGCCATATCCCAAGCAGCACTCGCAAGCGTTTGTACTGCTATTGTTTCCTGCCGTCATCATGTTGACACACTAGCTGAGATCTCTCCACACATCATGCACAAGAGTAATTTAAAACACCCTCAGTGACTCCAGTGAGCATGCAGGATCCATCCCTGAGAATTACCACCTCAAAATTATCTAACAAATCAGACACAGTGCCTCCTGGTGCTTTACTCCCTCCCTTAGTCACCCAGAAATCAATATTACTCTCTTCCCCCCTGACTTGGAAAGACAAACACTGCTTGTCCACTCCCGAAGGGAATTGTGCATAAAACCATTATAAGATGTGTTGAAAGGCAAAGAGCGACTACGTTCTCAGGTGAAAATTAAGTGAAGAGGCAGCAGGGAGAAAACCACGCATACAGAGACAGAGAAAGAAACCGTGAGAGATAGATGAAGAAAGAAAGAGAAAGAGAAGGAGGTCTTCATAGAGTTGAAGACAATTCATATTAATCTTTATTAATACAAATTGAGTGTTTAGTCGCCAGCAGTAATTAGAGAAGCGGTAGAACAAGTGCTCATGGGAAAGTCTGTGTCAGTGAAAATGAAGCATCTCATAAATTACTGAGGATGAACTCAGAGAGCAAAAACTAGTGTCTAAATTAGTGACAGTCACAATGGAGAAAAAAAAAGTTCACTCCAAAAATATTTTATTTATTTATCGAAGAAACACAACAAGCACGCTGTTCTTTTCCATACAACAAAAGAATATAGATCGCAAGCTGGCAAAAAAGTATTGTAAAAATATTACACTCATTCACTGTATTCAAAGCCTTCTGAAGTCGCATTGTTACTTTTGTGAGGAACACACTGAAATTCTTCCCCTCCGTTATGTCACTCAAATCTCATTTGCATTCTCATATCCAAAATTGCTGTGTCACATTTGGTTACAAGACATGTGAGAACTAATGCAACATTAATTTCAAACATGACACTTTACTTTTTCACACCATTGAGGCTGGAATTAGCCCAATCAGTTTAGTTGATTTTGACTAAATATTTATTTATTTATTTATTTTATTTTATTTTATAGTCAGTCATTCTTTGGCTTGAGTCATGGAGAGATGCTTCAAGGTTTGCTGAAGGGGAAGACTCAGAATAACATGAAGTAATCCCTGGGGTGCCTCAGGGTTCAGTGATTGGCCCCCTTCTCTTCTCGATATATCCAAACTTTTCAGTCAGCAGATGATTAAATTAAATTAAATTTGCATGTGTATTTGCACATTTATAGATAAGCATACAGTTTGCATTACCTGTTCTACCATACCTATTTGTTTACTATTTTGGAAAAAAGTCTCACATTATTACACTGAAATTATGTCTTTGAAAAATACAAACACACCCGCTAGGGCAAAGCACTTTGTCTCATTTTCATTCTTATTCTCTGGATGTCTCTGGATGTTTTCGTTTTCTCCTGTTTCCTTTGATCATTCTCGCTCCACTGCACTTTCCATTGATGCGCATTTTTATTAATACAGAATAAGGTAAATGAAGATCTATAATTTTTAGCATACCGGCTACATTACACAAACAGTATTGCCTACCCTTATAAAAACTGCTGTTGCAAAGGTCAGTGGGGTGGAACTTCACAGCTCTGCCAGGAAAATCATTTGAATTCTTTTGGCTTTTCTAAGCAAATCATTGTGCTTCACTTCAGATTGATTATCAGAGGGGTGACAACTTTTCCACATGGTGTTGAACAGTTTCAGTCTTTTTTTCATAGGGCCCCCCCTACGTACACATATGATAATCTGAGCCCCCTCCAAACCCCCATATTATTATATATATATACATATATTGATCCAAGATGGCGGCGCGTTCACACGCTGCGGCTTCTCTCTCTCCCGACTGAAAGGTGTTTTTGTGTTTTTTGTCTTGTGAGTCGCAGTGTTTTTGTATGTATTTGGCGCGTCTATTTGTTTCTAAGCGCACATATAGTCGTGAGTTTCTGCTCGATGTCGGCAGAACCACATTTTTAGAGTTAAACTCTGCGCACGCCGAAGAGCTGCGGGATCTCGGTCTGCTCCGGAGGCCCACACCATCACCGACCCCCACTACTGCATCTCGCCCACAGCGGAGGCGCCACAAGCGGCGCGAGAGGAAGCAGAAGAGGGGTAAGCGCGGAGGTATCCGGGCTAGGCTAGCGACTAACCCACACAAGCCGGCTATCCCCACCATCGTACTGGCTAACGTACGCTCTTTGGACAATAAACTGGACTACATCCGACTACTACGCTCAACTCAGAGGACTTTAAGAGACTGTTGTGTTTTTGTGTTCACGGAAACATTACTGCCTCAATTCAGCGTGGCATGGAGTTGATCAGTTTGTGGCACTGCTGAGGTGGTATGGAAGCCCAGGTTTCTTTGACAGTGGCCTTCAGCTCATCTGCATTTTTTGGTCTCTTGTTTCTCATTTTCCTCTTGACAATACCCCATAGATTCTCTATGGGGTTCAGGTCTGGTGATTTTGCTGGCCAGTCAAGCACACCAACACCATGGTCATTTAACCAACTTTTGGTGCTTTTGGCAGTGTGTAGGTGCCAAATCCTGCTGGAAAAAAAAACCATGTCTTCAAAAAGCTGGTCAGCAGAAGGAAACATGAACTGCTCCAAAATGTCTTGGTAAACGGGTGCAGTGACGTTGGTTTTCAAAAAACACAATGGACCAACACCAGCAGATGACATTGCACCCCAAATCATCACAGACTGTGGAAACTTAACACTGGACTTCAAGCAACTTTTGC